ACTTCAGTTAGCGGCGGCTCTCGCGCAGCTCCACGGTGCCGGGCCGGTAGCGGTGCGGCTTCTTCACGCCGCCCGTGGCCGGGGCGCTCTTGCGGGCAGCCTTGGTGGCCAGCTGCTTGCGCGGGGCCTTGCCGCCGGTGGACTTGCGCGCCGTCTGCTTCGTGCGGGCCATAACGACAAGATCTCACAAGCACAACCAAAGCGGTTGGGCAGCTATGACGCCGAGCATTTTTTTTTGCTAGTATTTATAGAATGCAAAGCATAGCGATTGGATACGAATAAACTGACGTTACAGGCTACCATTGGCTTATTTTAAAAGTGTCAAACCAACATGCGGTCTCATTGGCTACTATATTCTGCGTTTTTGAAACCTTTGTCCCTTCCCAGATGTGATTGTCATAACGCAAAAACTATTATTTGGTTGGGGATATCGTTTTACGAAATAAAATTTTTCTTCCAACAGTATTGTCCCCTAATACTATAACCTGAGTTTTTTGAAGAATGAGGGAAGCTTGCAGAGCCCCCGCCTCCAAAACGTACTCCAGACCTTCCCGCTTGCAGGATCTCCCTCACGCCCTCTCAGGTTAAATTTCTTAAGGCTTCACCTTAAGAGTTTTTGCTAAGGATACTTGACTCGGAACCTTTATTGAAAACTGCAAAGGATAGGCTCAAGCCTGCTTTGACGGTATCGCCCACATTCCATGCAAAGAGAAACCTCTGACGTTTACGTTTCTGACTCCTCCATGTAAAGCCTGACAGCCCGTGTGGTTTGTAAGGTAAGGTACAGTGCCGGGTGCAAAATGGCGCCGGCTCGTTCCTGAACCGGAATAGGGACGTGGGCGCGCTAGGCGGTCTGGTTTGGCGTTGCTGCCCTTGCCAAGCGACCGGTAGGTGTAGCCCCAAATTTCGAAGGGAACAGCCAGAGATTAAAAACTCTGCATTGAGAGCATAAAAACTCCCCTACCTCTAAAACCCAAATACCGGCGGGCAGGCAGTGAGACCTCTTTATAGTAGCCTGAGGTAGGCCAGTTCAATGTTTTGATTGGCTTAGACATTTTCCAAATTAGCCAATAAGAAAGCAGATCTAGCATCCTTCATTTCCATAGCGCTTTTTCCATTTTGTTTGAAGTCAGTTTAACCCAGCCGGCGGCACAAACCATTATTGGAATGGGAAAGTGTTGTAGAAACCACACTTGAATCCGATATTCGGAGTATTTCTGCTTTGTAAAGCTACATTTAACTAGACGCCTATTTATTGCACTAAGAAAACTTTATGTTTGTCAAAAAGTGTTCACTACAAA